GCTTCTTATTTTATTTTTTTAAGTAAGAAGTTGAAGGGGAAATAGTTATTGGGAGGTACAATAGAAATCTTTTCAGTCACAACTGTCATAGAGACTAGTTGGAGCAGATTGTTCATGTTTTTTTTCCAGTACAAGAACTAGGGGCATTAAAAGGTCTAGGAAGTGGCAGCTCAAAACAACCTAAAGGAGGATATTTTTCAGGAAACATCTAATTAAGCTGTGAAACAAGTGTTGAAGACATAAAAAACTTCTACGGCCTTCAGTGGAGGGCAGATGTATTTCTTGAAGAGAAATCCATTGTAAATTGCCAAATACAAAGATTTCTAGACTAGGACGTTTCTGAGCTGATAACTGTTGAAGGCTTGGAAAGGATGAGAAGGAAGTGTGATACATATTTGCCCCGTTTCTTCTCCTCTCTAGGCATCTGCTTGTGACCACTGCTGGAGATAGGATTTGGGGCCACATGGACACTGCCATATCCATTCCCTCTCCTTTCCTGCCTTCCATATTTCTGAAACAACTGAAGCAAGGATTCTAGAAATACTTACTAAACCAGCAGCAGATCCAGTCTGTGTATTTAATGAGGCAAGAATCCAGTTTGGAAGAAGATAGGTTGTAATCATATAATTAAAAATTGAATTATTATATGTAAGGCAGAAGTACTAGACTCATGCAAGCTACTTCATCTCAGTACCTCTTCTGTGAATTCAGAGTTTTGCACCTACAATACATTTCTTTGAATATGAATCCTGGTGCTTAATCTTTTAGGCTTGTAGGACTCAAGTGGAAGGAAGGAAGGAAGGAAGGAAGGAAGGAATTAATTCCATGTGGACATCACATAAGTGCCCAGGCAACCAAATGGAGGTAGCTAGAAGCCCTGAGTAATGGATTTTAATAAATTATTTCTGCGTGGAGTTAGAAAGAGAAGCAGCAAAGTACTCACATGTCAGACAGCGTATTATGACAGCTACACATGAGCTCACACCGATTTTCTTCTTTCCCTTGACCTAGGTACCATCTGAGAATACCCTCTGCCGACCAGTATCATCACTGCAACATCAGCACACCGTGAATGCTACTTGCCTGAACTAAAGGAGTAAGTGAAGCCGCAGGCAGCTGCTGGAAACCGGGCAGTGCTGGGGAAGGAGAGGTGAGCATACAGCTAGGTTTCACTTTGATACCCACTGCGGGTACCAAGGGGTGCACACCCCACTGCCAGGACCGGAGTACAGAGTCCAGGTCTAGCATAACAGGCTAAGGGCTGTGGGTATTTGTAGGTCAAGAAAGCAGTGCAGGGAAAGAATTACAAAATATGGAGAATGAAAGTCAGCTAAGGATTCTAATGGTCTCTCTGGGCACCATCTCATCAGGCATCCATGATGCAGGGAACTCAAGGAGTCATATGCAATCCCTTGTCCCTCTCTGCTCACAAAACCCAGTGTGTGGATCACCCTCCCCCTGAAACAGGCAGAGTGGGAGGACATGGGCAGGAGTGTCTCCCAGGTGCACACAGAGCCAAGCATCACAGGCTCCCAGAAGATTAAATTACCTAGGACCTTGCTGGAGATTTGTCTAGAGTTTTTTGGAGGACCCTGCAATTGAACCATCCCTCCTATCTTCCCCCCAGAATGTGACCTGAGGCATTATACCAAGAAATGCTGAGCATTTGTAAATTTTTCTCATGCTAGGAAAGGGAGCAAGAGGGGGGTTTGTTTTACATCAGCAACCAGTACAACTGGGATGTATTTCAGCCTCCCTCAGAGGATTTCCCAGGCTAAGCTCCAGGCTAGAAATAAAAATGGGCAGTATGTTCTTCCTCACCCCTCTGCCCTTGCTGTCACAAGGATCATTGACAAAGTCTGTGAGGAAAGCTGCTGCATAAATTCATCGCATCATTTTGGACCTGAACCTGTACAGCAACCTGCCCCATGTCATCCTGTCCACCCAGGGGGTAGTAATGACAGAAAAAAACCTGTGCACTGCTGAAGGAAGTGACTTCCCTCTCTGCATTTCTGACCACACTTTTATATCACACAACATTCATTAGTATCAAGTAGAACAAAAGTGTGGTAAAGAGAATTTTAATAAAGTAAGCACTGTTTCTTCCCTGGATAATTCCTTGTCTTGACTGCACAGCAAAATTGAGTCCTTATTGCCCTGGACATTACAAGAGATAACCAAGAGATAGCTGCAGTTCTGAAGTGTCTATATTGTAAATATGAAAGCACAACACTGGAAACAAAATAATGTAATCCTCATTTTATAGGCCTAAAATGGAGGTACAGAAAAATTAGATGCCAAGACTGCATCAAAATGGAACCCACATCTCTAAATTCCATGGCTAGTACTTTACCCACAAGACAATCTTTCAGGAGCTATTCCCCTCTCTCTCACAGATTCAAATCATTTTTAAAAATGCAAGCTGGTGGAGAATCACATTCTTGTTGTGTAACAAATGACGTGTCACATTTTCCCAGTTTTTTGGGTTTTTTTAAATGATGGAATAATGTGCTTATTAGTTCCCCTTGTACTGCAGCCTGTCTGCACAGAGTCATCAGGTGCTGTGATAAAGAAGAAAGAACATCTCTAAGGTATTTTTATCTGTGGACTGGGAAACATTAATCATTTTTCAGCTGCTAGCTGTTCATTCTTATTCATCCTTCTGGATGTTCATCTCATGCTGAATGTTAATTTTGTCTGCTCTGTGAACTAATATGTGGGCAGTTGACCAAATTCTGAAACATTTGAGGGCATGGCCAGACACAGGTGAAAAGGAGTATGAAGCTAGAAGTCCTAGAGCACCTGTTCAGCTCACAAGCATCCATTACTGCCTCTTCAGACCTACTGCCCTGACTGCATACATAGTGACCCTTAACACAAAACCTATCATAATAATCTGGGTATGTTTAAGCACTGTAAATAATATGCCTTGTCTCACCTGAATCACTTTGAGAGAATTGGGTTACATGTGTGGTTACACGTAACTGCAACTTTGCCCCTCTGTCTGGTTCTCCATGTGGTTATTGTAAAGGGTCTTGAGGTAAGGGTAGGGAATGGCTTTAGAGAAGAATCTGGGGGGTTTTATGGGCTAGATCTACCCTAGTATTCAAGTTCATGGCATTTATCAGTGTTGACAAATTCCCTGACAGGCCCCCAGCAGGTGCATGCACACACATGCCACATGTATGTGGACATCACACACACATTCCCCCTGACCCTCCCTGGGTGTCTACAGACCTGCTTGCCATGTCCTGCATTCAGCATTGGCAATGGGCAGCTGCTCCGCTGATTTGTCAGTCCAGCAGTACCGCAGATCATTGCCCTAAGGGAGAAGCAGACTGTACCCCTTTACCACCTGAATTAATAGAGGTGAATAGCCTGGGACTAGAGTTTCAAAGACAAACGGTGGGACAAGTAGAGGGGCTGTCATAGATAAAGGTTTCTTTGGAGTGAGGGAATTAGGAATATATAGGGGTAAACTCTTCCTAAGTCTTTTCGGCAGTGACACACTGCAAGACTTTAATGTAAGTAGAAAGGGACACGTGCCTAGAAGGAATATTTATCCTTCTGAGATCTCTTCTCTATGTGAATTCTCATCCAATCCTTGGTCTTAACCTACCATCTTCCTTGTTCCAAGACTGGCAATCTTTCAGCAAAGGAGGGGTAGGTTGTATTTTTCTTTCCCCAATTAGCTATTAAGTGTGCCAATGGAAACTTGGCGGGAAGCTGACGATGCTGCTTCTGCCTGTGGCAGGAGGCCTCAGTTCCTGCTGAATTTGGAGCTCCGTGGAGGCCACAAGCAAATGCATCTACCAGACATCTCTTTGAAAGTGCCACAGCTCTCTGACTGCCCAGCCCTCTCATATTCTGTTTCTGTGATAAACCTGGCTTAGCTCCATTCCCTTCTTGCTGTTGTCTTCCTCTGCCCTCTGCAGCTTGGCTATAGTTGAGCAAGTGGCCTTGGGATTTAAACTCCACAAAATACCAGCCCTGGCACCCTGACAGACAGCTGGAATGGTGTGACTGGGGTGTAGTTCTGGTCGTGCATTGTTTGAGGCACCTTTCTTTTTTTCTGTATCCAAAACCGATTGTTATAAAACAAAGAGACCACATGGGGAATATATACTCTCCAGAGAACAGCTAAATACTAAGTAAGTGGCTGGAACAGCAAGTATTGGGACTGAATTTCTTATAGGCTCCTTGAATAACTAAACCTAGAGGAACACTGACATTTTGGGGATAAGCCAACCCCACCATTCACAATTAGGGAAAAAGCCATCTGTGAGTTGACAGCATCCCTATGTTGGCTGCTACTCCTGTATGTCAGATACCAAATTACCACAGAACACAGAGAAATGTTGATGTCACTGGAAATTATGCAACATACACCTTAAAAACAGACCCTGAAGCAGCCCCTTAACCACAGAGGGACTTGACCATTTAATATACACTTAAATGTCTAGCTAGACCAAAGCTATACCGTATGGTTTTGGGTATGTATGGGGACTTACTCTCATACGTGGGTTTCTTCCTCTGTTTCCCCCAGGGAGTGGCTCTTTTGCGCACTTAAACAAGCTGGAAACAGTTGAAACTAAATCCCAGTGTGTAACGTGAATCCTGCATTTAGTGGGTTTGACTTTTAAAAATGCTAATACACATAGGCCCTGATGACTTCAATAGCATTTATGGGTGCTCAGCGCTTGTATAAATGTCACACTATTTATAACATATTTCTGTGTCCTTTTTTAAAATTCTCTGTTGGCCTGTCTCTTTTCCACTGTGGTATCTTTGACTGACATAGTCACATCAGGATGTAGCATGTGTTTGAATAATTAAGAAAATACAAATAAAAGTTATCTTTATTCTAGTCCATATTTTTCCATTGCTCAACCACCAAAGATAACAGTACCAGTTCACCACTGCTTTTTACATTCTATGGAGAAAAGTACTTTTAGTTTTGCAGTGGTTTATTAAACCTTCCAAGTCCAATTATTTGCCCCTAGATTTTCCACCCCTAAGCTTTAGAAAATTGTTTCAGCTATATCCAAACTCATGCCAACCTCCTGGCTTCTTGGCCGCAGCCCATCAGCGAGTGCTCTACTAAGAACAACTTTGAGGCTCTCCTTGAACCTCTTCTTCTTGCTGCTTCCTACAAAAAAGTAAACAAGGGGGTTGATGCTACTGTTAACGGTGGAGAGAACAATGGTGACATGGTTCTGCTGGCTGAGCAAAGACGACCAGTGGTGGTAATTCAGAAGGTACAACAGCCTCATAGGCATGGCAAAGATGAGGAAGACAATGACTGTGGCCACAATGATGATGTAGAGCTTTGACGAATGAGGTCTCAGGGAGTTACGATGAATCCTGATAACCAAGATCAGGCTGGACAGAATCATTAGAGGAATGAAGATCATGAAAGTCAGGATCCATGTGAAGATGAGCAGTGCTTGGCAATGGTTGCCATCGTCGAATTGTTCCTTTGTTGAATCATCTTTGCATGTTAAGTATTCGGCTACTGTCATCAGAAAAGACAGAGTCCACAGAATTGCACACACAATTGCCGATTGGTGCTGTGACCGGTGGCATCGGTACCAGATGGGGTAAACAATAGACAGACACCTCTCAATACTGATGGCTGTCAGGAGATAGAGACCAGTATTATATCCAAGAAGGAAGACAATAGATAGTGTGGTGGTTATGTAATAGTAAAAACCATATGCGAATCCAAAACCAGCAATGTACTCAATCGACAGAATAAATGTACAAAGCAGTAAGGAGATATCAGCAATGGACAGGTGTGTGATGTACGCAGTGAATGGGTTTCTTTTGATCTGGAAGCAGAGGCACCAGAGGACAATTCCATTTTCACAAAAACCCAGGAAGGAGATGATCATAATTACCCAAAGTGGGGTCAATATCTCCCAGACTCTTTCCTGTGTAGAAATGTTTCTGTGCATTGAGATGTTCTCTGTGCCTTCGCTGGGATGAAACGTTATGTTTGGCTCATCCATGGGGAAAGCTCAAGTTTGGATAGCACAGCTCTTCCTTCTGTAAATATGTATAAAAATATACTGTGAGCATTGTGCGCTCCTCCCCTCCCCCTTTTCTTTCTGTTTTGTGGACCCTTAATTTCTGGTCATATCCAAAAGCCTTAGCAAAAGGAAAACCAGCTTTGATATACTGATGCTAGCTGAAACCCAGCTGGAACTACTCTTGGCAATGTGGTTAAGCCCATTATGCTAGCATAAATCCTGAGCTTTCTTCTCTATGGGGTTCAGCATATAGTGCTAAACCAGAGCTAAAGAGATACTCTCAAATTGCTCTTGAACAAGCAAGGTCTCCATCACATTGCAGTTTCATGATATAGTGGTCATAGGTAGCGTTGGTGGTTCTTGTTAGAGCCCTAGATTGTTCCCAGACAGGTCTATTCAGCTCTGCTATTGTTGAAGCTAATGACATAAATTTTAAGTCAAACATATGTATCTCAAGTGAATTTAGCTCACAAGTTGTTTGTTTGTTTGTTTGTTTTACAAAAAATTGATAGCAACGTCACTTTTCCAGGAAGGGCTTTAATTAAGTAAATAAAAATAATATGTAGTTACTCAGAATTGTATTCCCTCCAAGTACAGAGGTGGAAGGAAGGTGAAATGCCACTGTTTTGAGACAGTCATTTTTTACCAGCTTTAAGTGTCATTTATCATAGCATAACATAATTTAACCATGTTTTCAGACTCTGAATACTTAGCACAACTGCAGATATCTGGCAAACATTACAAATCCGACCCATCACAAGGAGAAGTAGTTATTCAGGTTCCCTGGCATTATTATACTGGTTTAACGGTTGTTTTGCTGTGTTATGGAACAAGTTGTCCTTTTGCATGTCTCCTTTTATCTCATAACAGAGAATCAGCAGCATTTGCTTCAGCTGGTTTTCATACAGATATTTCATGCCCCCTTCCCTGTTAACTTCCCAGCTGCCCCTGTGATGATACAGAGTCACATTCAGGACTCTTGCTGATTTACTGATGTTTAACAGGGACTAACTGTTGACAATAAGCTTGCCCAGCTGACTTGGTTCATCCATATAAGCAGACTTGTTCATTAGCATGTCCTAATGAGAATTCACCCGTATCCTCAAGCAGTTAAGAACATCAAATGCAAGATAAAGAACTTCTACTGGGGCAACTTTTGCAATAATTATTTAAACAGAACCATTCACCCCAGTCATAGATTTTCTCTCATGAGCCCTGGGTTTCCTGGGTTCAAAACAACTTCTTAAAACAGGATATCACATTCTAAAAAAGCATTCAGTAAACAACCTGGGAAACCTCAGGGCTTGATGTCATTTCAACCTGCACAAAAATGTTAATGATGATCCCACCTGCATGTTGACCATGCCACCATCTTGAGATTCAGTTGGAGGGAACAAACAATGCAGCTGGAAATGTGGTAGAGAAGTAAATGTAAATGCAGCAAGTAAATGCAGTGACCAGAATGAGTGCAAGCCTCCCAAAAGCAGTGTTCTGCAGAAACTACAGAGGGAAAGTGCTCAAACAATGTGCTGTTGGAAGTGTAGTAAAGTTTCACTGAAGAAAAGGAGAGGAGAAGCTATCTACTTCAAGAGTTAAAACAAATAGGAAAGGAAAAAAAGAATTCCAAGACTCAAGTATGAAAAAAAAAAAGACTCAAAATAAGAAGAGACTCAACAAAGTTCTTGATTTGTATCTCTACATAAATGGAGTAGTTCTCTCTGGAGGGTAAAACAAAGAGGAAAAAGTTTTGGACTTACTAAGGTCATTCCCACATGAGAGCATTCAGAGATGAGAATGGAAAGAATCCTCTTGATCCAGATACATCCATGGTCTGTTCAGATTTCATTGGAGTTGCTGAAGAACCTCCTTGAAGAAGCTGAAGGTTACCTTCTCCAACCATTTGCCTTTGGTAAGAGAGGGAGCAAATAGTGACTCTGACCATGACTGCCTCAAAAAGAAATGTGCAGTCCTCCCATCACTCCAGATATCTGAGGCATGCCAAATAAAGTGCCCCAGGCTCATCATTTGAGGCTGTGCTTCAAATGGCATCACTCAGTAACCAGCAAGTCATCTAGCTGAAAGCCTGGGAGTTAACTCTTGTGGGAACTGAATGGCAGTACATGGAAAGTTGTCCTGAGCTGCTACAATACCAAGAGACACAGTTTAAACAAACAAATGCAAAGTGAGTAGGAGATCTATTTGGGGATGGTAAGATCAGAAGGAAAAATCTCAATTTAGAACTGTGCCACCACGTGCCATCTAAAATATTACAAGTTGATTTGTAAATTTGTCTTACACTTTTTAATATGAGAAAACAAAAAAGTGAGAAGGACAGAGAAGGAGAATAAAAGGGAAAGAGAGAAAGAGAAGAAAGAGAAGAAAGAGAGAAAGAGAGAGAGAGAGAGAGAAAGAGAGAAAGAAAGAAAGAAAGAAAGAAAGAAAGAAAGAAAGAAAGAAAGAAAGAAAGAAAGAAAGAAAGAAAGAAAGAAAGAAAGAAAGAAAGAAAGAAAGAAAGAAAGAAAGAAAGAAAGAAAGAAAGAAAGAAAGAAAGAAAGAAAGAAAGAAAGAAAGAAAGAAAGAAAGAAAGAAAGAAAGAAAGAAAGAAAGAAAGAAAGAAAGAAAGAAAGAAAGAAAGAAAGAAAGAAAGAAAGAAAGAAAGAAAGAAAGAAAGAAAGAAAGAAAGAAAGAAAGAAAGAAAGAAAGAAAGAAAGAAAGAAAGAAAGAAAGAAAGAAAGAAAGAAAGAAAGAAAGAAAGAAAGAAAGAAAGAAAGAAAGAAAGAAAGAAAGAAAGAAAGAAAGAAAGAAAGAAAGAAAGAAAGAAAGAAAGAAAGAAAGAAAGAAAGAAAGAAAGAAAGAAAGAAAGAAAGAAAGAAAGAAAGAAAGAAAGAAAGAAAGAAAGAAAGAAAGAAAGAAAGAAAGAAAGAAAGAAAGAAAGAAAGAAAGAAAGAAAGAAAGAAAGAAAGA